GTTAGCCGGAAACCGATGGATTTATGTGAATCACTCGCGGAAACGATACTGCACACGGAACTGTATCATCTTCGACTAATCGCACACAGCTTCCGTTCATGTGCGTCATAACACAATATCGAACTTGATATATGTGAGTAACAAATATCGGAAAGAAACTTCAACGATATATTGGAAATGAAGCATCGTTGAAAGATATTTTATATGCAAGGGAATATATAAAGTATGCAATATTTTTTGAGATATATAAATTTGATTGAAATTTATATTTCTCTTTTTTTTTTTTTTTTTAACGAATTTTATATTAAAACATATCGCATTTATTGTTGAAAATGTAATAAAAGTATTTTTTATTTATTAAAACGAAAATTTTGTTCTGATTTTAAATTGTTACGTTACAAATCCATTAAAAAATGATGACATATTGTTGGTAATATGAATATTTATCTATAATTTTTATATATAAATTTAAAAAATAAGAAAGATTATTAGACGTCTGTCAAGTATTATTGTCATTATATTTTGCATAGTAGAGTCTGTTATTCGAAAATATATTTTTACATAAAATATAATACACTTCATAAAACTTAAAAAAAAATTGATATTTCTGTAAAAGAATGGTTTTATGTTAAAAATTTTATCGCTGATGTGTTTGAAACAAAAAATGTTTTCAAAAAATACTTGAAGACTGATATTACAGAAAGGACGCAAAACGTTTCTAAACTTAGCGAATGACCTTTCGTAGTATTGATTTTATGACCATTGGAATCGATACTTTGTGAAAACTTGTGTCAATTATCATTTGTCATAAATGTGTTATCTAAACGTTGATACTATCTTCGGAACTGATTTTAAATCACGACGAACGAGGTTTTAAAGTTGGGGGGGGGGAATCTGCTTAAAATGAAATGAGGCATTGGAGCTATTTAACTTGTAATACTGACAAATTTGTCCCGCAGGTTCGTTGGGAACGATGAAGTGGAACCCGCCGCGGTGCAGAGCAACGCAACGGAGGTGGATAATCGAAAGACCTGGGCGGCTCATAGCGTTCTACGGGTGCGTGGTCAGAGGGAGAATCACGGTCTACCGATCCGATGTGTGGCTGCGCATCCAACGAGCTTAACGCCGATCGGCACAGAATCGCGGCTAGACATTCATTGTACGTACGTCCCCTTCGATCCCTACCAGAGAGAGCTAATGAAGCAAACAGCACACAAATTATAAATTTTATCGACACCTTCAGATATAAATAATAAGTAATGAAAGAAACTTGTTAGAAGTATTGATTTTTAAGCACGACACATTTTTCCTTTCTTTAATAAGAGAAAATATTCTGAAGAATTTATTTATTTATTTATTTTGGCAGTTTTTCTTATTTATTCGAAAATATGATTTATGACCGCGCAAACCGTTTCTTTGTGTGTGTCTCATATATCTTTGGAAAATAGGTATTAAGTATAATATTAGAAAACTATGGGTATTTATTTTCTCAAACGCATTCGCAGTTTTCAGCTTTTGTAATATGAATCGAATTGTTAAATGTGTGTGACTTGAGAAGAAGCGTGGGTTCCGTTTGTGTCCCTAAGCTGGGCGGGGTAAAGGGTCCACGACATATAACAGCAGTGCTTCTCGGGCTTTCAGATTCACCAGAAGTACGTTTGGAAACGAATCCACAACCGCTCTCGGCTGCTCCGGAGGACTCGGCAAGCTTCTTGAGCCTGAAGTGCCTGGCAGATGCTAATCCGCCCGCCAACATCAAATGGTTCAAAGATTCCGTGCCGTTCAGTGCATTGTTGGCCGACGGCACATCTTCGTCGTTGCCGATACAAGGCAAAACGATACTTTTGAATGACACTGTATGGAGTGCCGAATTGCTCTTCGAACCGGTCAAGAGAGACGATGCTGGCCTGTACTCGTGCAAAGCGACGAACATCGTCGGTGAAAGCGCTCCCGCGAGTTATAGGCTCGATGTGCAATGTTCGTAGAATTACATTATGTTGTTTCGGTATACTTTACCAGTTTCCTTTTCCTTCTACTTTTCCCCTCCGAGTAACTGTCTATCTACGCGATCTACGCATCGCTTAACATCTCTTTCCTCGAAATGACAAGGTTCCTTTCTTCCTTCATAGAATTATGTCATACATAAAATTTTTATGCGCAATTATATGTCGCGTTACTGTGAAAGTTGTAACTCTTGAATGCTTGGCTCTTTTCTCTTGCTATAGAAAACTGAAAGTAAAAGAGATTCGAGATATCCGCATTCAGCGTAATGCAATTTATGTATTTTCTTGAAATGTTTTATTCTTTTATGATTTAATGTATGAACGAGAATCCTTTATTTTCTTTGTCGCATCCTAAAGCGAATATGCAATCAACAGAGAGATAAGATGAACATGTTTGTTTCTTCAGATGCGCCGATGTTGAAGAAGATGAATGGAAACGACACTTCTATGGACATGGAGGAAACGGCATTGCTAAGTTCCGCTGTAGATCTTTTCGAATGTCCCGAATTCGAGGCCAATCCGCCTGCTCAGTACAAATGGGTTCATCTCCGTGGTAGTGTGACGGAAACCATCGGAAATCGTGTACAGAATAAGGGTGGCGGTCGACGTCTGCATCTAGAGAACATCATGTGGTCCGATGAAGGAGAATATCGTTGTATCGCCTTCAATACGATCAACGGCATCAGAAGAGAAATCACCAGCGATGGACGTTATGTGCTGCACGTAACTGGACCGCCAGAAATACAAGCTAGACCATTGCCTGGCGAAAAGGACTTCTATGAATCTGTCGGATGGGCAGGCGAACACGTGCATAGACTCAAGTCTCGATTCTGTTCGCGACCGCCACCGAAACTAGTCGCTTGGCAATGGGGCAGTTCCCACATTCGAGCCGGTAAAAAAAGACGTTTATTTTAATCACTGAGCAGCGGTTCAAAGCTTCAACTTAATTTTAAATACAAATCAAAATCTATTTTCTGTCTTTCTATCTATTTTCTGTTTCACGGAGCAACTTAATATTCTACATATCAAATATACCAAATTAATATTTCAAAATGATTTAAGTATTTATTTGCATTTGTGTCAGAGAATAAAATTATGAGTAAGCAAATAAGTTTAATTTATTTTATTGCATAAAAATTCAATTATAATAATCGAATCAGATCGTATGAATCGATATCGTACCTCTACTTCAGTTTTAAAGTTAGCTTTTCAATTCTCGACAGGAGAAAGCATTCATCCGAAATACGAGGCTCTACCATTGGAACCCATCGTTGAGAATAAAATGGTGACAAACTGCTACTGGGCTAAGTTGGAGATCAAGGATTTGCGAAAAGAAGACGCCCGTATGTATACCTTATTGGTGGAAAGCGAGAAGGGCCGGGACTCGACAAATATCAACTTGATAGTAAAAGACCCCACAGAGACGCGCGTGATAGCCGCGGCTGTGGCAGTCGGCCTCTTGTTTATGTTGTTACTGATCTCTGTCGGCGTGTACTCGTTGCTGAAGATGCGACGTAGACGATATCTGCAAAAAGTAGAAGAGGAGGGCAGTATCGCGGCCGACGCGCTCTATAGTAATGGCGCGTCGATGGATCAGCAGAAGTCCATCAATTCATCCCACGCAAAAACCATCGCGAGGAAGTCCAGCTTAGACGGCAGTCAGGGTGTGTATGATTACAGTTGCATTGCAAAGCAAACGCGTGCCATCAGCCCGGAAGCACTCAAAGTTAGAAGAGCGCCGGCGGTCCTGCAGCCGCCCACTATCGTATAAAATATATGGATCTTCATCTCTTTTACCTACTTGAATCCTTTCCCTCATCATCGAATCCCTTTTCTAACAAATTTTACTTTCTTTGTTTTTTTTCATCAAACTTTCTTTCTTAACCAGAGTATTTTTACGATTTACTGTAGATTATACACAAAAAATCAGAAATAGTTTTAGTTATTTTTTATAGTATACAAAGTGTATATTTATATTAAATGTTTTAATTTGATATTTATATCGGGTAATCGATGTAAGTATCTTCAAAAGACTGTTATTGCATATCGTTGAATAATTATTAATTTTTTTGGAATGTATAAATTATTTATTATATTATGCCCCGTTATTCGTTGTGTTTTAGCATAGCAGATAAGACAATAGCAATTTATCCATTTGAAATACAGGCACGTCGTGATAAATATTGTATGAAGAACTCCTGTACCGGTGCAAAGTATAGTCTGCGTTGTCGAAGCGGAACGAAGCGTAACTTTAATAGCGGTCGCATCTCAGTGATTTTAATGGCGGTTGTGCGACGAGGCGGGATCAGTGCAAAACTGGACCTCACGGAAACTGTTACATACAGTTCCTTCCATTTTGATACTTAAATGAAGATATAGCAATAAAAAGAAAATTTTGTGTATATTTGAAGAAAATATTCGAAATTAAATAGGG